TAAAGGAGGGGGGAGGAAAGAAGGTGACGGGGGAAAGGCAGGGGGAGGAGGGTGGGGGTGGTGGTGGGCCCCGCGCGACGTGGTGGGGGGACGTGGGCCGTCCGATGCCGGTGCCGTTCGCGGACGGACGGCCGGGATGGCGCGCCCCGGCCACGCGCAGGGGTTTCCTCCCCTTCCGCTATTAATTGGGGGTGGCTTTTTCTGGGAATGGCAGCGCATTTTTGCTTTGGGGGGGAAGGATCATGCGTGTTCGCTGAGTAAATGAATGAGTGCTGGCACGCACAAGCAACATTCACGTGCCCCTCGTTCTACTGGTACTGTAGTTCTGATATTTACCACGTGGTTACGGTGGTGTGAAAATATTTCTGCAATCCCATGGCGACGATATCTTGGCAGTTAAGAGTTGTTTTTCGTTTTGGGTCCACCGTCTGCTCGGCGTCTGTTTTATTTTTGTTTTGAGTCGATCATGTGCCCAACGGTGTGACCCATTTCATGTCCGCGCATAAATTTAAAAGGCCCGCGGTCATAGATAATGCCAGCGGTCATGCCGTCGCCCAAATGCCGTGTCGGCGTCATGCCCTCAGACGGTGTGTATGCATTCGTTCGCTTACTTTTGCGCTTCGGCTTCGGCCCGGCTTGATTGACGAGCTTGTCCTCGAACAAAGGCTTCCCGTCAATGTCCATTTCATTCTCTTCCTCGAGGTCGCAGTCCTCCGGGAACTCGTGGTCGAGCAGGAAGCTGCCCAGGCCGACCTGATCTTCCATGAAGGCGTTGTCCATGCCGGCTTAATCATAGGTCGCCGGCGTGAATGGCGCTCGGTCGTCTTGGCTTTGGGTCTCATCGGGATCATAGGCAGCCACGGTGCCGCAAGCGGAGGCAGCGGCCGCCACACCATCTTCGAAGACGATGTTCTCGATGATGAAACGGTTGGCCGTTTCGTCATCATGAGCCGCCGGCATTCTGTCAAAAAGGTTGCGCGTATCGGGGAGCATGTCGGTTGGCATCTCCCGTAGGCATTTCCTCACCCCCTCCGAAGGATGATGCACTGTGGTGTTGAGGTCACTGGACACGGGCGCGGGCGTGGACGGCGCCACCACGCTCACCTCCGGCAAGCATTTCCGGAGAAGCGGGAGGCTTGCAAATAGATGTGGAAGCCGGGAATCGGCTGCATGGCAGACGCGTGCGCGCGACTCTGGCAGCACCATCCGAGGAAATGCCGACGAGCCCGCGCGGGCCAGAGTTTAACCCTAGGATGACCAGGGCCTTCCTCATTGTCGCGCGACTCGGGCATTGGTTTCCTCCTGCTGTGCAGCGATGGAGAGGGTAGCGACGGCTGCCGCTTCGGATCTGGCGTCCTACGTGTGTCTCCGTCCCTTCCTCTTAGCCGACTGCATGACCCGCTCCTCGACCGTCAGCTACTTCTTCTTCTTAGGCGGCGTCGCGGTCTTGCGGGGAGCCTGGGGCTTGCCTTTGGCGCAGGCAACGGAGGTGAGGCCGGATGAGGCGAGGGAGGTGAGGCCGGATGAGGCGAGGGAGGCGAGGCCGGCGGTGGCATCGAGGGTTGGCGTGTCGTCCATGGCGAGTGGGCGGGAGGGTTTTGGGAAAGTGGAGGAAAATGGTGGCCGTTGAGCCACTGGCTGGCGAGCCAGGGGAGGAGTAGGCGCGCGTCGCGTGCGTCCATTTCGTGTCCTCATCGACGCAAATGAGACTCAAATTTAGGCCGGGAATGGGTCAAGAGGCGAATGAAAATCGAACACGCATCCATTTTGGGTCGGCGTGTTGGGCCGACTTCTCTGTCCGCGACGACCCAAATGGAATGAACACATGCGGACGAAATGGGTCTGCACGTTAGTTGCTCTAAGAGCAACTCTGACAACCCAAATTGACGTGTGTTTTGTCCGTTTTCAGGCTGCAAGTGGACACGTGCCATCCACGACGCCCACTTAAAAGCTCATATAATTCATGTTCGTGGACCCCCACGTAACCTGCGCTATGAGAAGTGGGATAAGTTGCCTAACCACGAATGACACAGAACCCACCTCGTTCCCCTCTTCCTTCCTCGTTCCTCCGGCATAGCGCCGCCACAGAGTAGGCCGCTGCATAGCGCTGCCGTCCACTTTCCTTATGGTCGGTCTAGCGCAGCCGTCCACCTACCCCATGGACGCCACATCGCTATTTCCGGACGTGGTGGAGGGACATGGTCCGTCGGATGCCGGTGTCGTTTGTGGACAGACGGCCCGGATGGCGCACCCCGGCCACGCGCAGGGGTTTCCTTACTTCTGCTACTAAGAGAATCTCCAGCCACGCCCCCAACATGGCCTCCCCACGCGTTTTTTTTGCGCCGGCGCCGAAAAAAACGGCCTAGTCGCGTCCCGAGGAGCCCGTTTTTCGCCGGTGTGGGCCAAATTCAGCGCCGGCGGACCCAGCCGAACCCGGTGCGCTGGGGGCGCCCGAGGGCGCCGGGGCGAGTGTTCTGGCGCGAAAGAGTCGCGGGCCCGCCGAGTCAGCGAGACGGCCGCTTTGTCGCCCTCATCGCATCGGTTCCCGTAGGGATCAATGCTAAGGATATCGCGCTGCCGCGCCGGTCAGCCTCCATTGATGCCTCACGGGCGGCGCAGTGAAGATGTCGCCGACGCGTGTCCCTCCCGCTCCCGCCATGCGTCCTCCCGCATGCCGCCTCCCCGCCGCCCCGCTTCGGCTATAAAAGGCACCCACTCCCTGCCGGTGAGCGCCACAGCCTCCCCCTCCCCATCTCCCTCTCGCAAAAAGCCTTCTCCCCGTCGGTGAGCGCCACAACCTCCCCCTACTACCCCCGCCAACGAGCAAAGCATGGCCGAGAGGTTCCCAGGCGCCGGTGCAGCGGCGAACAGCTTCGGCCGCCGACACCTCCAAGAGCCGGAGACGCGCCTTCTCTACGAGGCCGAGTACCCGGCGCCCCCTGACATGCGCGTGCCGGGGGCGTGGAGACTGAGCGCCGGCGGCGTCCCGGTGCCGCCGGTACCCGAAGGGGCGCCACGGCGGGCGGAGATCGCCCGCATCCGCTCCTCCCTGACGGAGGAGCAGCGGAACCATCCGAGATACGCGCCTGACAGCGAAACGCTGTGGACGATGTACTTCCAGCGCCGCTGCGAGGAG